CCTAAAATTTTTCTAAAGGCGCCTTAGGCGCCAATATATACTAACTTTGAGGGGGTGCGCGCGCCAAAAAAAACGCGATTTTTTGTCAAAATTTTTCAAAAAGTGCCCAAAAACGGCCCAATATAGTTTTGGGCCTTTCAAAAAGTGCCCAAAAAGTGCCCAAAAAGTGCCCAATATATACTAACTTTGAGGGGGTGCGCGCGCCAAAAAAAACGCGATTTTTTGTCAAAATTTTTCAAAAAGTGCCCAAAATTTATGGGCAAAACAGTGCTTTGGGAGAGCTCGAAAAATCAATCGAAAAATCAATTTGGTCGACCTAAAAAAAAAAAAAAGGTCGTCAAAATTTTCGAATTTTTTTTGAAAATCCGTCCCCCCCCCCTCGAGAAAATCCTAGATCCGCCCCTGTTGTGGTTCCTTTTTATATTTTCATTTACTCTTCCTATTTATAATTGTACTAACCTTGACGTAAACTTTAATTTTTTGAAATTTTTTCCTTACAAGATTTTTCGGCCTAACTGATTCCGGCTTTTTTTTTATTGTCGTATTCACCTAAGTTTGGGTCGCACCGGTTCGCACAAAACGTAACAAATCTCAGCATAGATTTTGCAGTTCAAGTTTTTTCATGGCAACATTTTTTTTTTTCAATTTTCAGTAAATGCCGTCGAATGTTTTTCAGGACATGTTTTCCGCAAATAGAACATCCGGCCAGACAACATTTTGAAGTTTATCAGTTGTCGTTTCTTCAATTTTTTTCCGTTTTTTTTGGACTAAGTGGCTCTTTTTCCCTTTACTGTCTGCTTGCTTGTATTGCTGTTTTTGTGGTATCGCAAGTGATGCGAAGCTCTGCTTTGCTTCTGTGTAGAAGTTGTCAGCGAACTTTATCAGTTTATTCAGTTTATTGCAATTACCTTTCTAATGTATCGAATCGTTCCACTCGTGCCAAATGAAAGCTCAGCGGAGCCTCCCTGCTTAGGAAAATGGGTGCCTATAAAAAGCGCAGCGGAGCTTGTGCCGAATGTAAGCGTTACGGGGCTTCCTTAATTAAGACAATTCGACTATTTATGGGATAGTTTTTTTTCTCCAGAAAAATTTCGACTTTTTAACTAGCAGTTTTTGATGGAATTTTTTGTTCATTTGAAAAACATTGTTGCCTTGAGGTCAAATCTAAAACGATATGTCACTTGTATTTAATTTTTGTTAGTTATGCGGGTTTAAAGATTGACAATTTGGCTTATTTGGGACAATTAGTGCGCGATATATTTCTTGCTATTAACGTAATTGGAGATTTAATCAGTCTTAGAAATTGTTCCAAATCGGGTTGAGGCATGCTCATTGGTATTTTTAACACTTCGCTACAGGTGCAATTTGTCACTTTCTACTTTACATATGGTATGGGGTCACTTTCTACTTTACAAACATTTTAATTTGAATTATTCCATAGAAAATAAAATACAATCGGAACATTCAGGGCTTCGCCCTGGTACGAGTAGTCTTGTTGCAGTTCGTGAACAGTAATTTAACAGCTTTCAAAACATAATAGCCTAAGTTAGCAGCAAACACTGATTCACTCGCATTATACCACTCGTGCCGAATCTAAGCGCAACGGGACGAAACGTAGCTTGTTAGCTTTCTGATTTGCCGTTTTTTTGAGCCAGCTAAAAGATCGTTTCTTCTGCTAAATACCGAGAACTTTGCGCCGCGATCATCTACTAGTATTCTGAACTGAAATAATCTAAATGGTTTGAAGTGCCGACAGTTTGTCTTCGCTTCGCGACGCTTAAATTCGGTTCAAGATTCAAACTGCGCAGGCATCAGGGTTTTCCGTTAAACAACATGCTTTTTCCACCTAAGCGTCCCAATTAGGTTAATTAGTTTATTCATTCTGGGAAAAGTTCTAATTGGTTTTGATTTGAATTGCTGGCATTTGGTTATTCATATCAAAGATTTATGCAATTTTGGGACAACTTTGGGATGAAACCGTCAGTGCAAAAAAGGTTATAGTGATTTAAGACCAAACACAAAAACTTAAAGCAAACTCAAAAAATTTGTTTAATTTTCGCTTAAAAAGAAGAAAACGCTAGTCACACTTTTTCACACTGCAAAGAACATGCTAGTCACACAATTTCTCTGCGAAAAAATGCTAGTCATCGAGTTATCAAACAATTTTCTGGAGTAAGAAATTGTATGACTAACAACTTTTGTCAACCCTTTGGGTTATCATTAGTTTTTTTGGGTTGTCATTAGATGATGCAGTAGTATTGTGGGTATTTCGTTAGTGGTATTGGTATCGTTTTCACGCGTGTTTAATTGAGGTTGCGTTTCAGATTGTCCACTCTGTTGTCAACCTCAGCCTGATTTTCCATTCCATTCGGAAGTGATTATCCTGAGTATCCATTCCAATGACCCGAAATGAAAGGTTCTTCACCGTCAAAGGTCCACTCGGTGTAGAAAGTGTACATAACTTTATAGCCAAACGGACAGCAGTCCAAACATTGGGACTGTTTAGGATAGTGGGAACAGTAGTCGAGGTGCTCGTTCACACACATTTGGCGTTCTTGTTTGAAGTACGGGCATCTTAAGGGGGGCTTATTTCGAACAAACGATATCTTTAAATCTCTGAAACAATTCATTTAAAGAAAAAAATCAGTTGAAGCCTTTGACAAGGCTTTGAAGTTTGGCCTCAATTTTTACATTTCTTCTCTGAGCTTTTTCTTGAAGCATCCCTACCCTCAAAAATTTGACCCCTGCCAGCCCGGGGGGTCCCCTTTTGTACTATTTTGAGATATTTATCTTCGGCGCCAGTATATACTAAATTTTGAGGGTCACGCGCGCGCCGAAAAAACGCGATTTTTTGGTCAAAATTTTCCAAAAAATTCCTAAAAACGCCTTTTTAGCCTGTTTTTTCAAACCCTTACCTGTGGCGCATAAAATTTGGTCAAAATGGGGTGCTTATATTGTTTTGGGAGAGCTCGGAAAGTCAATTTGGATGACCTATAAAAAAGGTCGACAAAATTTTCGAAATTTTTTGAAAATCCGCCCCCCTCGAGAAAATCCTAGATCCGCCCATGAGCATCCATCAAATTCGCAATTTTAATGTTTTTTTTAGACAGAGCGAGAAAAACCACATTTCATAGTTTTTTCTCGTCACTTAAGTCGGAAGAACGAAAAACTAAATACGGGCTTCAAACCAAGCATTTCAAATATTTGGTTTACTTTGACAAAAAACAGACCATTTTTACACTGAACGACAGAAAGCCTAATGCCTGGTAGCGTTTAGCGTTAAAATAGTCGGTTTTTCTTGAAACGAAACAAAAAATTTTGAGTGTTTCTTTTTGATCGAAACCCCTTTGAAATGCTTGCTGGTTTGAAGCCCAAATTTACTTTTTCGTTGTTCTGACTTAAAGTGACGAGAAAAAACTATAAATTGTTATTTTTCTCGCTTCGTTTAAAAATCACCAGAATTGCGTATTTGATTGATGCTTCAAGAAAGTGTTAAGGGGATAAACTGTGGTACCATATTAAAGCCCTGTTAGTCGTGATTCTGGTTTTAAAAAAATCTAAATTTCGCCAAATTTCCCAAAATGCTGATTTCAAGTTGTCTCAGTTTTCAATGCTATGACATTTTCTGTTTTTCAGACTAGATGATGCAAAGTTTACAAGTGTTACTCAATTTCATGCAATTTTTTCTTTCTTTGGTTCCAATTGTTATCGATAAGTATGGTCAGAACTTTTCTTGCTAGAAGCAGAGCAACCAGCTTTTCTTCCCAAATTTTGATGAAAATGAGAATTATATATGCATGGGGTGGTTTTTTTATTCAGGCCAATTTTTAAAAGAGTATTTTCTTACTTGGAAGACCGTTCTCTGCACCTAAGTGCAGAAGACAATCAACGTGATTTCACTCGAGGTTGACCTTATGTTTATTTTTGCTCAATAAAGAAAACTGTTCCATGTAGATACCCCCGGGTTGACAAAAAATGCGTGTCGTAAAGTTTTTGTTCATGGAAAAATGCTTATCATACAATTTCGTAGAATTCCATAGAACTACTTCAGGAAAAATTTTAAATTTTTTTGTTTCGATGAAAAAAATACTTATTAAAAAATTTTCATACATGAATTTTGTATGATAAGTATTTTTTGAGCAAAAAAAAACATATTTTCTTGTGCGAAAAAAAAACATTCATAACACAAACGGCGTTAATAAAATTAAAATATCCTAAAAAAATCCTAAGATTAGTTGGAAAACTTTACTTTGGCAAAAAAATGCTTAATATAACTTTATCATAAATGGAAATTGTACACTAACAATTTTTCTTCTCGATTTTTTTTGTGTGAAAAAATCATTTTTAACAAAAAACGACGTAATTAAGCTTAAAATACCCTAAAAACAGTTTTTTGTCTAGGTTTTTTGAAAACTTTAATTTCGGTTGAAAAAATGCTTTTTATAAAATTTTCGTGAAAGGAAATTGTACGATAAGCATTTTTTTCCATAGACTCCGTGAACGTAATTGTACGATAAGCATTTTTGGTCTATGGAGGTCAACCCGGGCCATTTCTGATTTGCCTACGCGAATCACCGTTCATTTTCCACACGCCCACTCTCCAAATCAACAATTTTGAGTGCGGGATAATTCGCCACATATTAGAAAATTTGAGTTACGTTTTCAGCATCAGCGATAAAAATTTCAAACTGCCCACAAAAAAGTCCAATAAATGATCAAATTGGCAGTTTCAAACCCCTTGAACTTCAAAAAAAATATTGCAGGTAAAATGTCTTTTTGCATTTGAACTCAGGGAGTCTATTTTTTTGTTGGTTTGAAATTTTTTTTTTCGCTGAAAAAATATTTCGATGGTTAAAATTGGTCTGAATAAAACCTAGTTTTTTTTTTCAATTATGGGACAAAAAAGTATCGAGTTCTTTCCTCACAATACTCTAAAGTTGCTGCGCATAGTTTTTGTAAATGAATGAAAGCTAATGGTGAAAATTGATACATGGTTAGATTTAGCGTGCAAAAATATGCCCCTTCCTTTGGTATTCGATGCATAGAGATATCACGGGTGAAGTGCTTCTCCTCTCTGACCCGCGTTCGTATTTGGGCACTTGTTCAGTCGGAATCAAGCACCCTGTCGGGTGTTCCACTCCCGCCACAGCAGTGTCTACGACTGTAACCCTCATGAACCCTGGTCCACTGAAACTTGCTCCAAAAAAGGGCTGAAAAGGATGATTTATAGTGTTTCGACCAAAAAGTATTTGTCAACTTTTTTTCAATTGTTCAGCCTCCTATCTAACATACAGAGTGATTTGACCGATCTTACTCGATTATCAGACAGAAAAGGAAATTAAAGGCCATTTAATAGAAAAATTCCACAAAATTACAAAAATGTCAAGGTGAAAAAGTGTACTTATAGTGGAAAAAAAATGAAGTTCGTTTTTTTTTCTTAAAGTTTTCAACAAACCTTTTCGTATTCGGTCCATCTATTTCCGACCAAGTGTCCATTATCGCCGTCGACTTTGACAGTGTTCATTTTCCGATCCGACTCCAGAACTTCAAACGCCGAGATACTCACAAACTCAACCGGACACTTCAAGTCACCCAGTTCAGTTTTCATTTCGCCTGTGTTTTCATTAGTATGGGGCCGCCTGGAGCAAAACCCGGGCGCTCTGATTGCCTTCGTTGAGAAAAATTCAAGGCCAGAATAAGTGCCAGCTGGGCAGTTCTTTTCAAGCGGTATTGCAAAGCAACCCTGTTTTCCTTCGTTTACAATACAAAGGTGGAACTTCTCGAAGTCTTCGCAGAACCGATGGTCTTGACATATGTAGCGTGGGGAGTCAGGAAATTCGGCTTCTTGCATACTGTTTCGGAACTCTTGCGGCACTGCATCAGTCAAGGAAATGCATCCAGGGTTGTCGACTCCGTTTTCATATACCCATTTGGATATCTGCTCAAAGCCTCAAAATATGCAAAAAAATCTTTACTCCTGTTTTTCTTCTGCAAACAAAAGTTTTTGATTTTTTTTGCAGGCTTGGCTCTGCTCGAGGTCATAACGCGATGAAAAAACTTTTTTTATAATGCTGAGGCTATACCTTAAGATTGAGAAAACTGTTCTTTTATCGTGAATTATCTACAAATAAATCAATATCCTTATTTTATCGTTTTAATTGATTAGTTTCATAATTTAACCAGGCAGACCTTCAAGCTACTGACCAAATGGTAGCAACATAACAATTCAAATATAGGTCCGCCTCAACTGGGACTTTTTGCATCTTGTCGCGGGTGAATATGCTTTAAGTAAGCACTTCATTTAAAAAAAACTTCTCCAGTCTATTTTCACATATTTTATTATGATTTATTTTGTTTTTGTACCTGGTCTGTATTCGGTTGACACGTAAACTGCGGCCATGTCTCCAAACCACTTCGCTCCTGTTGATTCGCTCTGAAACTCCCTTCCACTCAGCCGGTCTATCAACAAAAACATGCGCATTTCCTGGATTCACTCAATTCAAAATCCAGATCTGGGGTCAGTCCAGACCGGACCTTGTTTTTTTTCATTATGTTTGAAAATGAAATTGTTTTCCGGTATTGAAATTGAATTGTCGCTCTTTCGTTTGTATGCTCAAATTTTGTCGGCTTAGTTGCCACATTTCTGATTTTTTTTGTGCTATAAGCATAATTTTCAATATACTTGTAATTTCAACTTTTTGTACAAGATCGTTTGTTTACCGGCCAAACTGGTGTCTGCTCAAAAATCGTCGTCTTTATTTCCTCTTCGTAAGTTTTGCTCCGTTCCTGATTCAATCTTCAAATGTTTTGCTTGACATGTTTGCCCAGAATCGACTTTATCGAGACACACAAAAATTTTAGTCGAGCTAAATTGTTTACAATTTTTTTTTCAATTTCTTATGTTTTTTTTGTTCGTATTGTGTCGAAAGTGTCGCGAAGCGCTGCTTCGTCTCTGTATCTTTCAATTGTATTTCGGTAATGATATTTAAGCTAAAATCAATCGGGGGCGGAAAGTTTTTTAATTGTCAGCGTCCACCATTAGTGAAATTGCCGCTCATTTCCCGACTGCCCATGCTCACGCGCGTCAATATACACTAATTTAGAGGGTATTGCGCGCGTTAAAAACTTGCAATTTCTCGGTCACAACCTTCCAAAAAGTGCCCTAAGACTTCATTGTTGACCTTTTTCAAATTTCAGATGTGGCGCTGAAAATTTTTGCAAATAATGTTCTCTAACAAGTTTTGGAAGCGCACATATTTGACCTACCTAAGAAAAAGAAACCCCCTTCCTCAAACAATTCATGTGCAAATAATGGTGTGGACAAAACATTCATGTGCGATGTGCACATCATTGTTTGGATTTTTTTGACCCTTTGAACTACTTTGAGCTATCCATTTTTGGCTGACGGACCCCAAAGTTTTTTAAAGGCGCCTTTGGCGGCAATATATACTATTTTAGAGGAGGGAGAGCGCACCGAGAAAACGTGATTTTTTGGTCAAAAATTTCCAAAAAGTGCCTTAAAACGCTTATTCGGCCTGTTTTTTTTTTTAATTTTGCCGGCGGCGCAGAAAATTTTGCCAAACCGGGGTCTTTTAAGTACCTTAGGAGAGCTCGGAAAATCAAATTGGTTGACCTAAAAATAAGGTCGACAAAATTTTTTTCGAAAAGTTTTGAAAATCCGCTCCCCCACCTCGAGGAAATCCTAGATCAGCCCCTGAATGAGGGGATATCTGTTATTCGCTACTAGATCTAGCGTGGATAATGCTTAATGGATTGCATTTAATCCCATTTAAGAGAGATGTTTGGCAATTTTCTTCCAACTCTTCGGCCTGTTTTGAGGTCAAAGAATCTATTTTCACAGTATGTGACAAGGAGGCAAAACATGAAAAAAGACGCTTTCTATGTGAATACCAATACCTATATACAGTGGGTTGTAACTATATTTCCAGGAGTCAGCCAAACCAGCATCGTGGCTCGGGTTCAGTCGGCGATAGAAGGCGAGTTGATCGAACCCGAACTCCTCGCAAGTAGTCACTTGCACGACAGAGCGATCAGCATGCAAAACGAACTCCGCGTCATCGCAACTAGGCAGCAGAGTATATTTTGCGAATGGTTTTGTCATTTAATTAACATTTGGTGTTTCAGAAACAATTGTAATTTTACTATAATTACCCAAGGACTGATCAAAAACATTATGTCTACTAAAAAGTTTTTCTGAAAAATTCCAAATCAACTAGTTAGTTTTCTCTTAAATGTAACAAAAATCAGCAAAATTCAGGAAAATAGGTTGTTTTTTAGAGTAATACATAACAATTATAATAAGGGACAAACAAACGGTTTTTTCTTTATTTTAAATTTTTAAATAAACAGCAACACCATACCAATAACCCAAATTGTTATGTGGGAAAAATTGGGGAGTCTGAGTTTGGCAATTGTGTTAAAGTGTTGTTTGTTATCATTACGACACCAATCTCGGGTGCTTTGGAAATCGTTTGTATTCCAAATCGTCTGTGGAGTTTTGCGACAAGTTTTTTACTATTAATTAAATGGCGTTAAAAATAGAAACCATGATGTGTCTGTTAAACTCAAAACCAAGCGAGCATGTTTTTGTGCTCTATTATAAACCCGAGTTTTGGCGTCGCATTGATTGTTTTTGCTCAAATGTATTTTGTTTCTGTTAAGGTCATTCACGGCCCAGTTAGAACCAACTTACGCTATGGGAGAGGGAGTTGTGGGTAGAATGGTTGCGGGTAGAGGGGTGCTGGTGGGCTGTACTTCCCCATTGAAGAGAGTGAGGGGGATCACAAGTGGATCCAGTATCCCCTTATCATCTCCGAATACCTTCTTCACCAGTCCACAATCACCATGTCCACTTCCTTGGATCCTCTGAAATCAAATCAAGACAGTGAGAGGGGCATCACTTGGCATCACTAGATTATAGGTTTAGCTGGCCTTTTAAAGACCTTACATATCAGATTTATCTAAATTGACAATGGTCTGTTGAATAAATTCTGATATGAAGACACAGTTTGTTATAATGATTATTATTTAGTATTTTACAAAAAAGATTCGGCTAACAGGAGTAAGTTAAACTAAATGAACATGGGACGTGTAGGTATAGCGCGCAAAATTTTTCAAACGGGACAGAGGCGGCTCTTTGAAGATAAATACTTGGTGGAACTTTTTAAAAGCCAACCTTTTCCTTGTCGAAAACCGATAATGGACCCATTTAGCGAAAGATTTTAGGCCAACCGTGTGGGCCAAAATTCTGGAGTGATCCTAGCTTACAAGGTTTTCTGCATTTTTTGATGGCTATGGAATTTCTATAAAACAAAAAATGTCCTGCTTTTTCCGGATTTTTAAGGATACCCAAGGCATCTTCTGAACTTTCTGAAGGTCCCATTCAGTTATATATAATTTCATTAAATAAAGCCAAAGCAAGAGAAATTTATAATATTAAATTGGTTTTCAAGCTATGCGCACTACAAAATTGCTAAAGTTTTTATTGTTTAACAGTTGAAGAGCACCAGCTTGAGCAAAAACTGAAGGCTATTCAGCATATTGAAAGTGCCACAAAAGCAAGCGAACTTTCCGATTCTTGAGAAGTATATGTTTGTCAAAATTTTATTTGAGTTGTGAAAAATTTCTCCTTGTGATGCTTTGTTATACGAATATCTGATAGAGTAGCTGAAAAAGAGGAAATAATGCAATGCTCCAAACCAAAACCTAGTAAAAACAACATAAAAACAAGTCAGAGATTTGAAGACATATCAGGTAGCATGATTCATCATAGCTTGTTCTAATTTAAACAGTCGTTCAATTAAGCGACCGATCAATCAAAAACATTATGTCTACCAAAAAGTTTTTCTGAAAAATTCCAAATCACTAGGTAGTTTTCTCTTAAATTTAACAAAAAATCAGCAAAATCTAAGAAAAAATGGTTGTATTTTAGAATAATACATATAACAATTATAACAAGACTACTCGTATCAGGGCGAAGCCCTGAATGTTCCGACTGCCTTTTAAGGTTTTCTGGAGCAGTAATAGCATCAAAAAATTAAATGTAAGAAAAAATTAAATGAAAATTTTTTTTTCTAAAGTTTGATTTTTTTTGTGAATGCCATACAAAGTATAAAAGGATAGATTTCGCTCCTTGTAACAAATCAATTATGGCAAATAAGCTTCTTTCAACAAATTTGGAACGACTTTGAGACGGATTAACTCTCCGCTTACGCGTTAATAGCGCGAAATATATCGCGCGTTAATTGTCCCAAATTGGCCAAAATGGCAATTTTCAAACCCCCATAACTTTACGAAAAATGATCACAGGTGAAATATCTTTTCAAATTTGAGCCCAGGACAACAAAACCTTTCGAATGATATAAAAAATTCCGTCGAAAATGGCTAGTTAAAAAGTCGAAATCTGTCTGAAGAAAAAAAAAACCCACCCCGAGCACAAATATTCCGTTACTTTCGTATCGAAAGTCGGAACAATAAAGAACAAACAAACGGTTTTTTTCTTTATTTTTAAATTTTAAATAAACAGCAACATATACCAAATCTTGCCTTACCGTACGTATTTACTTCTCAGCTTTCGAAAAACTGCATTATAACTAGTAATCGAAGATTAGAGTGAATAGTTCTGATAACGAGTTAGACCCCCTATTTTGAGGGCTATTCTCATGCGCAAAGGACCGACTGAATGCGCGAACAATTTCAATTAATCTACGCCCTTGAAAATGTTCAAAACTGGCTGAATTTATTGCTCTATTGTTTCGATTTCTTGAACACCGAGCTGTGAGCTGTGATTGGATGACTAGGTGATTGCGCACTGTCCTTCTCCCTCCCCCTATTTTCACTTGCTAGAACGAATGTACTTGAAATCGGTAACTATGCTTTTATTTCCCGTACACATCTTTTCCTACAAATCTGTAAGAAATAAGTTCAGTTAGTGCAGTCACTTTCACTTGTAGGGTGACATGCTCGAAATTTTGAAGACCTAACCGAAACTTTTTATACTTCATTTAAGATAGTAATTAATTTTTGAAATAAAGTTTTTTAAACATAACAAGACTACTCGTATCAGGGCGAAGCCCTGAATGTTCCGACTGCCTTTTAAGGTTTATGGAGCAGTAATAACATTAAAAAATTAAAAGTAATAAAACAAAACTAAAATTTTTTTTGTAAAATATGAAATTTTTTATGAAAATCATCCCATCCCCCCACACGCCATTTAACGTACAAAAATATAGATTTCGCTCCTTGTAACAAATCAATTATGGCAAATAAGCTTCTTCCAACCAATTTGGAACGATTTTTAAGACGGATTAACTCTCCGCTTACGCGTTAATAGCGCGAAATATATCGCGCGTTAATTGTCCCAAATTGGCCAAAATGGCAATCTTTAAACCCCCATAACTTTACGAAAAGTGATCACAGGTGAAATATCTTTTCAAATTCAAGCTCAAGACAACAATACCTTTCGAATGATAAAAAAAAATTCCGTCAAAAATGGCTAGTTAAAAAGTCGAAATTTGTCTGAAGAAAAAAAAACCCCACCCGGAGCACAAATATTCCGTTACTTTCGTATCAAAAGTCGGAACAAAAAAGAAGTTTGTATTATCTGGTACGGTTTTTGTTCCGACTTTCGATACGAAAGTAACGGAATATTTGTGCTCGGGGTGGGTTTTTTTCTTCAGACAAATTTCGACTTTTTAACTAGCCATTTTCGACGGAATTTTTTTAATATCATTCGAAAAGTATTGTTGCCATGAGCTTAAATTTGAAAAGATATTTCACCTGTGATCGTTTTTCGTAAAGTTATGAGGGTTTAAAGATTGCCATTTTGACCAATTTGGGACAATTAACGCGCGATATAATTCGCGCTATTAACGCGTAAGCGGAGATTTAATCCGTCTTAGAAATCGTTCCAAATTGGTTGAAGGAAGCTTATTTGCTATAATTGATTTGTTACAAGGAACGAAATTTCTCCTTTTGTACTTCATATGGCGTGTGGGGGGATGGTTTTCATAAAAAATTTCAAATTTTAGAAAATAAATTTTCATTTTATTTTATTTCATTTAATTTTTTCTTTTTAATACTGCTCCATAAACCTTAAAAGGCAGTCGGAACATTCAGGGCTTCACCCTGATACGAGCAGTCTTGTTTTTTTTTGGGTTTTAATTTTAATTTAACGCAATTGTTATCATAATTAAAAGTTGTTCTGTTGGTAGTAAATTTACCTACCAATGTTTTGGGAAGGATCGGTCAAAAAACTTTGAGTTTCAAAATTTAATAGTTTTGTAGCTTCCGTTTTTTTTCGGCTTAGCGAGGGTCGATCCAATCTTTGGCGCCTTAGTGGCCGCTCAGTAAATGATTTTAGAATGCATTTTAGGGCTACCAAGATATGAGTTTTTTGTAGATGTAATTTTTTAAACTTTTTTCAATTTTTTTTTTGCAATTTACTTCTTCAAACTTCTGCCTTTTCTTGTACTCACTATCTTATAATGCAGTGTTTGATGCGTATATCTAGTATTGCGGAGCTCAGCTTCGCTCTGTGTTTTTACTCGCATATATCTTGTACTCAAATACTGCAAAACTAAAATTCGTTTATTTTGTACTGAATAAAACTTAATTTTCGAAATTTTTGTCGGGAGCAAGTTTCATAGAATTTTTTTGGTGTCTACTTTGATATCAAATGTAAATATTTTTTGTCAACATAGACACATTAACTACTTTTTCCCCAGATTAGGCAGAGATCTGTTGAACGCCTCCCCCGCTTACCGAGAATTGTTCGGTCAATCTTTCGTACACTGTCTTGGGCTGCTTTCCGTCGTAGATGAAGTGAAGTCCAGGGGCGAATCTGAGTCCGGTGTGTTTCAAGCTTATCTGGTGACCCCCATAGCCATGGCCCTCACATTCCCCTCCCCCACCTATGTCTACACAGAAGATGTATGTAAACGTATTCTGTCACATTTATGGATATAGGCCTTGATAGTGCCCTCGATCGCTTGACAGATTAGAATCTCAGACCATTTATCCGCCATGGGAAACGGCCAACAGGAGGAAAACTGCTGTAAAGTCCCTGCTTATAGAATACATGCTACTTTTTTGGTTATTTTTTCTGGGCTTGATAATATTGCTTCACACCTTTATGCAATGTCGAACCATAAAATGTGCAATCTATGGAGACAATGCTTCCATTTATTTTTTCGAAAAACCACTCATAGTAGCTATTTAACTGACAAATTGATTATATTACAAATGGTTTCTTTTAGTATAGCATGCATTTCCTATAAATTTTGCCATACAAATATAATCGAACTACAAAAAGTGCAAACTATGGAAACAATGCTTACATTTATTTTTCTTTTCGAAAAAAACACTCGTGGTCAGGTGCGGATTTAGGGGAGGGGCGGACGCCCCCTCTCAGGGATTCGACCACCTGCCGACCCAAAGGGTCCCCCCTTTTTACTATTTTGAAATATCCATTTTTGGCTGACGGACCTGAAAATTTTTCTAAGGGCGTCATCATTTTCAAAACGTCTTTTTTGGCCTAGTTTTCAAAATTTTGCCTGCGGCGCAGAAAATTTGGACAAAACGCGGTCTTTATAATGCTTTGGGAGAGCTCGGAAAATCAATTTGATCGACATAAAGAAAAAAGGTCGACAAAATTTTCAATTTTTTATTGAAAATTGGCCCCCTCGAGAAAATCCTAGATCCGCCCCTGCTCATGGTAGCTACAAAAAGGAGACAATTTGATTATTGGAAATGTTTTCTTATAATGCAAATTTTGCCATACAAAATATTTATGGTGCTGACTATGAAAACAAACTTTATATAAAGAAGTATTTTCAAATCTAATCATGTTGAATCTCTGAAGTTTTAACAAAAATGCGTTTTTTCTGCTGATTTTTTTCTTGCAGCATTAAAAGTCATCATCAAATGTTTCTGTTGTTTTGCATTTGTTGTCATTCATCATTTTTGCTGTTTATTTTTTAGTTTATAAAATTTTTAAATCTCAGCAAACTTTAAGTTTGCAATTTCTGGTGCTGCTAAATATTTTTCTGTTTCATTTGCAGAATTACTGCTGTAGGTGTTTTCAATTTTGTCTCGTTAGCTCACTGGTGGTTAGCTTGAAGGCAACGGATTTAGTCTTGTGCTCAAAAATTTTGAACTTTTCACTGGCCACCACTTCATGAGTGAGCAGTCCGAGAGTATCATTTGTAGCTACTTCAAGCATATCTTTAGGTTTTTGGCAGCTTTTCTTTTTACCACCATCACAATTGGGTTCAAAGTAAAATGAAATGTTGTGCCAAAATTCTCATAGAAATCACACACGGCAAACTTTATGGTTTCATAGAATCAAACGCGGCACTATTCATGGTTTATTCCAACCAGAGAAGCCACGTTATATGGAGTTACGCCAGAAGTTACTATACCATTGAAAAAACTTGTTTTTAGGGTCATTCGATTTTGTTTCCATTGTGCAATCATTTTTTTTGGACCAATTATGGAATTTTCCTTGTCCCGGGTTGACAAAAATGCTTACCATTTAATTCCATGCTATGGAAAAGATGTTTATCATGCAATCTGATACAATTCCATAGAGCAAAAAACATTGGATGAAAGTCACATGATAAGCTTTTTTTTCGTACAATTGAATTTGGAATTGTATGAGAAGCATTTCTTCCTTGTAATTTTTTTTGTGTTTCGCCCTGAACACAAAAACTAAAAATTTAATCAAATGAGAAATCCAACAAGTTAAACGGCATTGAATTGCTGATAGTACTGGTTGCCAAGTTCTTTCAAAATTATAACAAAAAATGTAACTCTATATATATGGCTACGAGGCCTCTGTTTCGAAAAACTCAGAAGTTGAAAATATTGTAATTTTAAAACGTTTAAACTCGGCCATCACAGAGAATCTTGAATGTGACTCATGATTCTTTTATGTATAAAAAGTTGCGTGGACTACGTTATAAGCAAAAATTTGAAAGTTTTGCATGCAAAAAATTTTTTGTTCGCAAAACTGTTATAGCGACTAAAAAATTGTTCCTCAGATTTGAAGATTTTTTGTTCGTAAAAATCTTTGAGCGACTAAAAACATGTTCTCCAGTTTATGCTTATCATACAATTTGTATAAATCGAAATCTTATGATGAGCATTTTTTCCATAGACTGCATGCATGGAATCGTATGATAAGCATTTTTTTTGCTTTGCATGGAAATGTGATGCATCCATATTCTGGATAACATATTCTGATCCATACGGTTAAACTTCACATATTTGCAGTGCAACGTTTGGATTAGGACAAAAGTTGTGGCAAATGTTTGATATTAGTTGTTCACATTCTTTTCGAAACCATGTTAAAAACTTTTTTTAGCAAACAGAACTATACAATTTGGCCCATGTGAACAATCTCCCCCCTTAACAGACCAAGTGAACAATCTCCCCCCCCTAAAATTAAATGGCAAATTCAAGATAAGGCCTGCATGCACTATATTCAAATCTATTAGGCTGAAAAATATTACTTTTTATCAAGTGAAGTTTCTCCCCCTAAATTGATTTAGGGGGGAGATTATTCACTTGGTCCAACAGTTTTTCTTATTCTCAGAGTTTTTTTACGAGTTTGCGAGACAAACTGAAAGATAGCATAACTTTAACGAGAATAAAATTACTTAAGCTACTCTTAAAATCCACATTCTGGTTTTCAAGGCAAATTTGAAACCAAAAAACATTAGTTTTGTAGTTGTCACTTTCAGCTTTACAAAACTGCCCTGATTGAGATATTTTATTAATTGTCAGAGTTTCAAAATTGCACCAAAAGCCAATCCGCAGCTAAAAAATTATAGCTCGACAGAATTTTTAGTCGCGCTAAATTTCAGTCGCAACCGTTTGTAAATTGATTGCAAAACACCCTGAAAGTTAGTCGGAAAGTCTTGATGTGGTCGCAGACCATCTGAGAACGATAAAGGGCTGCACGTTGTTATCTCAAACAAAAGTTTCAGATAAGAAATCTCCTTATTAAAATACAGATTGGTTGGTAATAAATCACATCTGTTGAAAAGAATCTTAGGTGACGAGATTTTGCGATCAATTTTCTAGCAACTTATTCAATGTTTTTTTTTTGGAAAAAAATTAAAATAGTTTTATAACTGACAATGGTTTTTGGAACTGTTTCCTTACAGTCAAGAAACACTGCTTTCGGTATTGTTTGAAAGCTTTCGCAACAACAAAAGGCTATACACCGTAAAAGGTGTGACTTCGCTTCACCTTCAGTTTATAAATCGATGATTAAAAAAAGTTTAATTCAGGTTTTCCGTATAACCAGTACTCTACAGTCAAAATGAGTTCACGCGCGGATTACAATCGGGTTCGGATATAATCCTTTTTCAAAAAAAATCTTAATTTGCTCAGCCTCATTTAAAATATATCAGAATGCCTTAAACTGGATTATCATTGGATTGGAAAAACAAAAAAACAGCATTTAAAACCCCCTTGATACAAACACTTCCTTTTTATTCACCTCATTTCACACGCACATCTATCCTCGCGCACAACCATCCTTTGCGTTGTGCAATAACCATTACTCATTTCCAAAAACCACAATGGCAATTACTTAAACTTTTGGATCTACTTAACAAATTCCCTCCTTTCAAGAAAAGAATTTTCGACCTATCACACTGCAGCAAAACTAGATTTCTCTAAGTTAATTAAGTATATAATTGGCATATTTATCTAGTTCTAGTACTAATGTGCTCTAACGTTTATTTACTGCTTTGGTTAGGATGGAAAAGATTCTTCAGTAGATGTCATAGGGACGAGATTAGAAAATATCCAAAGCTTTTGCAATAAAATATATATTTATGATGGCTCATCCCTAAATATAGCCCCACATGCCCACAACCGAATTCCCTCTCCGACAAAAATTCCTATGTGAAGTATCTGTGAATTACCAGTACAATATCTTACCGTCTTGCAGTACTTCTACGCTATCAACAATTGACATATTTGTTATGACGCATTAATTAAACACCAGCGAAAAGCGATGTAGCTTTTGGGCGACCATTGCTCATTTGAATGCTTATGTGTTTAAAGATGAGAACTTCGATTGCTCAACTTATCTAACTAGGGCTTTTTAAAATAATTCTTTTTATGGCGCAGTCAGAAGCTTCGAACCTACGAGGACTGGAATTCTTCTGGATGCACTCAACTAATGAAATCTCTCGTGATTGGAAAAAATGGACAGAACAGTTCCATCTCATAATCATAGCAAAAGAACGCGAACTTATTCACGCTGCGATTCCCGAACAGCCCGGAGAGATCAAAGATGCTACGCAGCGACAAAACCGGGAGGAGTAATATACAGCAGTAAGTAAAAAGACGCCGAAAAGATGACCTGAGCAAAACTAACGGACTTCAAATCGTAATATTGATAAAAAACATAAATATGAGCTTCACCTAGCGTTAGCTTTGCGCTGTAAATATGCTTTGCTCAAAAAACCCCATGATCTTTGATAGCAACTCCGCAGAACTTTGGTAGCTGCTTAAAACAATCATCGCAGCGGTAACAAATTTTACATACGAGCGTTTCAAACTTTTTAGTAGACGTCCGAAAGACAACAAATGTCTGAAAACGTTTCATGAAATAATAAAGTAATTAGCAAAAAGATGTAGGTTGAGAGAACTAGAGGCAGAGCTGGTAAGGGACATCTTCATTACAAATATGAGATTCAAAAAAATCTCTGTAGAGAACTTTTATCTCCCTAAAAAATGCTAACCTCTGTACTCGTCCACAAAAAGGAAACCCGATTTCATCAACAGTGAGTCAAAACCTCAGATGCATATTTCCCAAACAGTAACACAAATGTGAAAATTGAACTGGTCGTTAACATATCAGAAAGCCAGAAGAAAACTGCGGGCAATCATTCAAAAT